GACCGCCCAGTTAACATGGATGGTGTTGCCTCAGGGATTTCGAGATAGTCCTCATCTGTTTGGACAGGCACTGACACTAGACCTCTGAGTTCTTTCACCCTTAAGTTAGCGTCTTGCAGTATGTTGATGATATTCTGCTCTGTGCCCTAAATGAGGATGCTTTTCAGGAAGACAATGAAGCTCTTCTCACCTTCTTAGCTAAAAGAGGATATAAGGTTTCAAAGCCCAAGGCCCAGTTCTACAAAACCTGAGTAAAGTACCTAGGCTTAATGCTGTCTGAGGGACCAGAGCATTAGTGAAGGAGAGGATTAAGCCTATTTCTTCCTTTCCCCTCCCTCAAATCCTCAAGCAACTAAGAAGATTTAAGGACATTACAGGATTTTGTAGACTATGGATACCTGAGTATGGTGAAATAGGCTGCCCATTATATAACCTCACAAAAGAAACTCAGAGAGCTAAAACTCATCTTTTAACCTAGGAACCTGCAGCTCAAAAGGCCTTTGATGAGCTAAAGCAAGACTTGCTTAAAGAACCAGCTCTCAGCCTTCCTATAGGGAAGGGCTTCAATCTTTATTTGTCATAAAGGAAGGTAATGGCCCTGAGAGTACTAACACAGGCCCAAGGACCAGCTGAACAGCCAGTGGGTTACCTAAGTAAGGAACTTGAGTTGGTGGCTAAAGGATGGCCAGCATGCCTCCAAGCCATTGCCTCAGTGGCTCTGCTGGCCACAGAAGCCTCCAAATTAACTCTGGGAAATGATTTAACTACTTATGCCTGCTCCAACATGGCAGGACTACTGCACTTTAGGGGAAGCCTTTGTGCAGTAGTCTAGAGGGGGAAAGCTGACTCCTTAAATATCAGACCCAGCTGTTAAAGGGTTCCAACATCCAAATAAAGACTTGTTCTGTCTAAATCCAGCCACCTTCCTCCCCAAGGAAATTGAGGAATCTGAGCATCATTGAGAGCAAATCATAGTACAGACCTATGCAGCCAGGGATGATCTCAAGGAAACTCCCCTAGAGAACCCAGACTGGACCCTCTTCACAGATGGGAGCTCTTTTGTAGAACAAAGGATCCCTAACGAAGGATACGCAGTAGTCACTCTACAGGACAACATTGAAAGTGCGTCACTCCCTCCAGGCACAAGCGCTCAATTAGCTAAGCTAATAGCTCTTACACAAGCAAGTGAATTAAACAAAGGAAAGGTAGCTAATATTTACACTGACTCCAAATATGCTTTCCTGGTTCTCCATGCTCATGTTGCCATCTGGAAAGAAAGGCATTTTCTTACCACCAAAGGATCTATAAAGTATCACCAGGAAATTAATGAGTTATTATCCTCAGTTTTCCTTCCATGAGAAACATCAGTGATGCATTATAGGGGACATCAAAAGAAAACAGATGAGGTAGCCAAAGAAAATAGATTAGCTTATCAGGTAGCTAAGTCAGTGGCAAGAAAGCCTCAAGACAACACACTTCAAACCCCTCTAAACTGGGAAGGCTCCATAAGAGAAATTAAACCTCAGTACTCCCCTACAGAAATAGGATGGGTCACTTGTTGAGGGTATACATTTCAGCCTTCAGGATGGCTACAGTTGGAGAATGGCAAACTCCACTCGCTAGCCTCCAGCCAATGGAAAGTCCTTAAAATCGTTCACCAAGCTTTACACTTGGGAAAGGTTTATAAAACTTATCAATGTGCCCAGAGATTGTTTTCAGGAGAGAACTTACTAAAAACAATTAAGCAAGTTGTTAATGCTTGTGAAGTCCATATTAAAAATAATTCCCTGAACAGGCAACTCCTTCCTCCTCAAACCCAAAGAATAGGAAGTAATCCAAGGGAGGAGTGGCAGATAAACTTCGCCCACATACCAAAGACAAAGGGCATTCAATACCTGCTAGTATGGGTTGATACTCTCACTAACTGGGTAGAAGCATTTCCATGTTGTACAGAAAAAGCCTCTGAGGTAATAGAAGTGTTAGGTAGACCAAAGTCGGGAGTTATTTCATTAACTAAGTACCTTCAAAGTGACAATGACAATAGGCCGTCGTTTAAGGCAGCTGTCACACAAGGGGTCTCAAAAGCACTAGGCATAGAATATCATGTCCATTGTGCTTGCAGACCCTAATCCTCAGTAAAGATAGAGAAAACTACTGATATTATCAAGAGAAATCTCAGAAAATTGTCTCAAGAAACTCACCTTCCTTGGGTCACTCTTCTTCCTATGGCCTTACTACAAATAAGAAATTCCCCTTCAAAATTAGGTCTTTGCTCATCTGAGATACTGTAAGGACAGCCTTTCTTTACCAATGATTTTTCTATTAGATCGGGAAACCTCTGAGCTAGTTAAGCATGTAACCTCTCTGGCTCACTTCCAACAGGAATTAACAGAATTAGTGAAAGCCCAACCCCAGGGAATTGTACTACTTCTAATTAACCCAGGATATTTGCTACTGGTAAAGGCTCTCCCTTCTCTCTCTTCCTCCCTAAGCCCAACCTAGGAAAGGCCTTATGCTTTTCTTCTTCCAACTCACCCCCCAGCAATAAAAGTTACAGGAATTGACTCCTGGATACATCACACTCAAGTCAAATCCTGGAGTAAGGAGAGAGCAACCCCTGACAGCCCAGAGGAACCTCCTGAATATCAATGTGAAGAAATAGAAGAATCTTAAGCAGAAAATCACAAAAGATGAGTAACCGAATGAGAACTACTCATCTTATTCAGTCTCACCCCTACCTCAACAAATACTTTTGTCATTTCTACCTCTCCTTTTGAACCAAATATTAGAACTGATTTTTGGTGGAAATTTATTTACTACGCCACTCTTACAGGAATTGCTATACTCACTCAAAGTAGAACTATATACTGTAGCACCCTCCGGGTGAAATGTCAAAGAAAGAATCTCAATTACTGTAGCATTTTGCTTAATTATTAACCTCACAGCAGGAATAACAGTTACTGACAGGGAGTAAACATAAGTATTTTACTATCACTAAATACGTTAGGATTTTTTAATCAATTTTAGTAATACACCATTTAGCTCCTATAATATCTGCCATGGCCCATTTGTAGGGCAAGACTAGTTGTTGAGTCTCTCCTAAGTGGTTCACCTCAGTTCGGTAACACTAAAGAACGTTACAATGACCCAGTACTCACTGTCTTAGGATTCGCTTCATTGGCTTTATAACCCTTAAAGACTTGCCTGATAAGCATGGGAGCACTTTCGACTGGGTGACTAACTCTTCTCAGGAGAAATTCCGCTCCAAAGATAAGCTTCACACCCTCAGGCTGGGAAAAGTTGACTGATTCCCTCTGCTTTAAAAATAGTGGGGAAGGACCACACTTGGAAGATCTCAGATGTTATAACATCACATTTGTAACTGCTGATAGTTCAAAGAATTGGGGAGGAGAGCACAAGGGTGATCTACAAGGATCAGAAGCCCTAATGGGGGACTTTCAGAATCTAAACTCTCCTGGTTGGAAGCCTTGATGGGAGTGGCATGCTCTAAGTAACCACCTTGACTATATTGTAAAGAGTAACACATGACTTTTGCCAAACATGTCCCGACATGGAATTCCAGACCCTTGTATGATGTTTGCTAATAGTAGCAGCTTACAGATCTGTGGGCAAACTGGAGACATCTGGACTGACAGCCCTTGTCATAAGAATCATCTGAGAAACTGGCCAGGGTATATTATGTCTCTAATTTTTCAAAACTCCATTTGCCGGGTGGATCCTTCTCACTTGGCATGTCAAATTCCAAATGGCATCGTAAATGACTATGCTAAATATGGTTATCTTTATCCCAAGGATGGCCCTAATATACATAAAGAAAGGAAACTTCTAAGATATGAGAAAAATCTGCCAGTGTCTCTCACAAGCCATAACTTAGAACCATCCCTTCAAGTAACAGGGCTATATTTTCTTTGTGGCTCCTGGATACACTTAATCCTCCCAAGGCACTGGAAGGGAACTTGTACTACAGCTGTAGTAATACCCGACTTACTGTTTTTAAATTCTACTGAGATGGCAGCAGCATCTGGGGACATCCCTAACTACAGGCTCTTTTCTAGAAACTGCACTATCTCGAATACACTGGACCAAAAAAATCTATCATTTCTATGCCCTCATACAGAGATTTAATTGAAAGGGCAGACTGGGGAGAGTATGTACATGACAATCTCATCTTAGAAAAACCACAGCTGGACAATTCTATAGCCAGAGGTATGTTCTAGGTTATGAGTATCCCTCTCTTTGAAAGATTAATACTTAATATCTCTATTATGATGCAACAAGGATGGAAGGCAACTGTAGGGGGCATAGAGGCACAGCAATCTATAGACTCTTTAGCCTCAGTAGCAGCACAAAATAGATGGGCCTTAGATGTCCTTACAGCTGAAACAGGAGGTACCTGTGCACTTTTAAATGAAACATGCTGTTTCTGGATTAACATCTCTAGTAGAAGAAAATATACAGGTACTTAAAGATCAAATAAATCAAATTACTGACAGGCTAAGGGAAAATGCAGGTTTCAGCCCCAAGTGACTACAATCTGTCTTTAATGAATTCCAGTCTTCTTTATGGAATTGGTTGGCCCCTTTATTAAGTCTCCTTTTGCTTATTTGTCTTATATTAATATTTGGACCTTGTATACTCAATACTGTAACTCAAATTGTTTCTTCTTGCCTAGAAGCAATCAAATTCCAAGTGGCGCTGCAAATGGAACCACATAGACACGCCATTCTTCCAAGGACGCTTGGATCGACCCCAGGAGGAACCCTAGTTGCTGTTCCCCATTCGACGCCCCTTTTCAGCAGGAAGTAGCCAGAAAGAGTCACAGCTCAAAATCCCGTAACAGCAGTCAGGGTGACATCTCCTCAGGGGGGAATGTTATAGGAGTTGTTAAGAAATTATTTGGTCATTGCCCTCACTGCCGCTGCTGCTGACCTTACCACCACTGCTTCGTCTCTGAGGTCCAACTGCTCCCAGTGCCATGAATGATGACAGCACCTTTGCAGAGTCCCAGGGATGATGCTCAGGTATCAAAGAAGGGACACAAGGCCTTCAATGATACTGTCAGATACTTCTCTAAGAAGAATAGGGAAAAGCTGAAAAACTCAGAGAAAATCACCTATGTGTGTATGAAGAGAAACTATGAGACCATGACTAAACTAGGTCTCAAGGCTACCCTCCCAACTTTCATGTATAATAAATGGGCCACAGACCTCCAGGGGAATGATTCTGATAGACACCATAACTGCGGGAATCAGGATGAACATACTCAGATGGCTTTCAGCATGCTACAAGGAAACTTTCCAAAGATGATGCCCAAGAAGCCAGCAGAGGAAGGAAATTATTCAAAGGGAGTGCCAGAAGCATATGTCTCACAAAATGATGGAAAACAGCTGTGCCGTCCCCTCCACCCCCCGCCCCCCGCCGCCCCACCCCGGGAAAACAAAGTACCTCTGAGAAGATTCACAAGATATCTGGACCCACAGAGTGCGAGAAAGAAAGTATCTAGTGATTTATGAAGAGATTAGTCACCCTGAGGAAGATGAAGAATAACTCCCCTTAGGGATAGGGTGCATGCCCATGATGAGAAGCAGAACCTGGTGGCCTTTCACGAACATGGGCATGGCTGTGAATCCCTCATCATCAAGTGTATAGCAAGTGAAAGCAAGAGTTCACAACAGTGAAAAGTTGAACATCATTTTTCTTACAGTGTGCCATCCTGTTAGATATTTGCATTTTTGTTGATAAGCAATACATAGTTAATGCATATTTCTGTTTGTATATCCATGCACCTACCTCAGAAAACAAGTACAGTCAGGTATTCTCTGCAGAGAACAGCACTATCCTCCTCTCTTCCCAGATGTGACTACTGAGGGCAGTTCTGGGTGTTTCAGAGTTTTTTTCTCTGCATTTACACAGGCGCGCGCGCGCGCACACACACACACACACGGAGTACTATAAGCATCTCCCATCTGCTTTTCCCCATTGCTAATGCGTCCTGGTCAAGCCTCACCTCACTCTGTTTCCTGTTCAACATGCACTCCCTGCTGCAAATTCCCCTCATCCAATTCCCCTGTATCAGTCACTGACAGTTAATAAACCTCTACAAACTTTCAAAAAAAATTATTTTAGGCAGATAGAGTGGACAAGGGTCCTTGGAAAGGTTTTTATCTTTTAAAGCAGCTCCAGAAACGTTTCTAGCCTAGCAGGAAAACAGCCTTAAGAGCTAAGCTGGCAAGCTTTGATATGCAAATACAAGCCATTAGAAACTGGGTCCACTCAATATGGCAATTACTGCCTCCTCCATGTCACTGCAAGTGTGCCTAACATCATGGCCACTTCCATATATCCCCAGGTGTGTAGAACATCCTGGCCTCCTGCATTTGCACAGTAAAAGGCTAGGGTGGGATGGCTAGTTTTTTCCACAGGTCACATAAACCGTGTATCTAGTCAAAAAAATCCCCTGGGCCCTATGCAAATCAGACACCGTCTCCTCTGGCCTTCTAAAATAACTGGCTGTTTTCCACCACACTCAGAGTTCCCCCTCTCAGCTTGGAGACCCCCTCCATCTCTGTACAGGAGAGCCTCTTTCTTCTTTCTTGCCCATTTATTAAACTCTCTCTGCTCCTTAAAAATCACTCTACATGTGTCCGTGTCGTTATATTTAAACCAGCGTGAAACAAAGGACCCTGGTGATCCTCCAGTCATCAGAACGGTATCACCTACATTCATGATTGTGTGACAAGAGCATTTCCAGGTCCATGGGTTCATCACACATCTCTAAAATCAATTCAGCTCAACTAGGTAAGGGTCCCGCAAGCATACTCTTTCTACCAGGCTGAGAAGCAATGTGATGGCAAAAATGAATGAACAATATATACTGAAGGTAAAACTGAAGTCCATAAAGATACAAAATTATACCTCCAACAATTTTAATTTCTGCAAACATACTAGAGCTGAGGCAAGAGAATAGAATCTGGAGGCAGGGAACCTAAGGCCAATACATGCAGACTTCCTAGAACTAAAGTAAAACAAAACCCTCAACTTTGCACGCCCAAGTAACAAAAGGACCAGAGGCTACTCCCTTTGCAACCGCCCCCTCCTGTCCCACCTTTACTGTGTGGCAGATGAAAAACTGAAAGAATCTCTGATTGGTCCCCTCCTGCAACCAATCAGGCTAGTCTTCTGTCAAATATTCATTTACATATAAGTATAATTTTGTAGTTTCTCAGCCTCTGATTTGTCGCTTTCCACAACTAATCAGATATCCACATAGTGTGTAACTATGTAACTTAACTTCAGCCTCTGATTGGTGCTTTCTTTTGCAACCAATCAGACTGATCATAGGCCACTACTTCATTTACATAGGGTATGCACCAAGTAACAAATGAGAAACCTCTGGAGGGTATTTAAACCCCAGAAAATTCTGTAACCAGGCCCTTGAGCTGCTTGCTTGAGCCCACTCCCACCCTGTTAAGTGTGCTTTCATTTTCAATAAATCTCTGCTTTTGTTAACTCGTTCTTTCCTTGGTTTGTATATTTTGTCCAATTCTTTGTTCAAAGCACCAAGATCCTGGACACCTTCCACCAGTAACAGAGCTATAATAACATCATACACCATGTTTATGAATTTCTAATTCAAATATTTAATTTTCAGTAATAACGTGAACAAGAGAATTTACAGATAAAGAACACAGTGTTGTTTGATTTACAAAAAAATGTGAAACAAATTGTTTTGAATACTGCCTTGAAATTATAATTTCACAAGCAAAAAAGTTCTTTGTATAACCTCTGACCTACTACCATCTATAAATAAAAAACTAAAGTACAGCCGGGCGCGGTGGCTCAAGCCTGTAATCCCAGCACTTTGGGAGGCCGAGGCGGGTGGATCACGAAGTCAAGAGATCGAGACCATCCCGGTCAACGTAGTGAAACCCCGTCTCTACTAAAAATACAAAAAATTAGCTGGGCATGGTGGCACGTGCCTGTAATCCCAGCTACTCAGGAGGCTGAGGCAGGAGAATTGCCTGAACCCAGGAGGCAGAGGTTGCGGTGAGCCGAGATCGCGCCATTGCACTCCAGCCTGGGTAACAAGAGCAAAACTCTGTCTCAAAAAAAAAAAAAAAAAAAAAAAAACTAAAGTACAAAGAGGTTAAATTACTTGACCAAGAACAGAGCTCAAAATAAAATCTTGGTATCCTGTTTCTCAATCTAGTGTTACCTACATTTTCCTACACTACATCTCTCAGGTCTTTTTTTTCCTTTGGATTCTGCCTTCCAAGCACAGATATCTAGCACCATGGATTAAAGAACAGGGCTTGGGGTCAAAGAGATTAAGAGAATCTCATTTCCACCACTTGAAAAGCTATATAACCATGGATACATTAACATCCTCTATATTTTTTATTTTTTTAATCAGTAAAAAGGAGATAAATGTATTTTATCTCAAAAAAAATTCCATAATAAAAGAATTTTAAAATAAGTTATATTTGATGGGTAACATATCACAAAATTTTATGAGAGATATTTTTGTTAATTTTAAGTCTAATTGATCAAATAATTCACTGTGACAGCTGGAAGTCATGGTATTCGAGTATCCATTACCAGAGTCCCAAAAGTTTCAAAGTTGCAAAAACATAGTATTCACCAATAAACTGACTGTTAATAAAAAGCAGAATAGGCTACAGAATGGTATATATAAAATGGGTTTATAACTGTAACACATATAATTTTTTAATTAAATAAAAAATTTATGCAAACCTCTTTTGATGATGATGCCCTGTATATAGTAAATGCTCCATAAATGTTAGTATCATTATTACCAAAAGGTTAAACGGGAGTTCGCTATTTCCTTAAGCCAAGTACTAAGAGTATATGGATGAGCAAAAGTAATGGCTGAAATAAGACTCTCATGTGTTATAACTGTATAAATTTGATGTGTACATACATGGGTTCACCATTTTGCCTGCCTTCTACTTTGGTGTGTGTTTGAACTTTTATGCGAAAAAAAAAGAGAAAAAGATAGAACAAAAAGATATTTTACATTAATATGAAGTGTCTGATTCCGAAATAAACATGACCAAATAGGAACAGCTCTGGATTGCAGTTCCCAGGAAAAACGCAGAGGGTGAGTGATCACCACATTTCCAAAAAAATTTTTACTGAACACAGACAAGGAGATTCCCAGGCAGAAAAGTGACACAAGTCTTCAGTGTGGCTGTTTCAGCCTGTGCAGCGGCTCTACATACAAAAACTCAAACAAATCCAGGTGTCATTTAAACTAGAAACTAGAACGCCTGGAGACAGAGTCGCCCACTCAACTGAAAAAAAAGGGGCTGAAACAGGGAGCCGGGTGATCTGGCTCCACTGGTCCCACCCCAACAAAGACCAGCAATCTAAAACACTCTGGATTAAGAGTTTCACAGCAAGCACAGTCGGACAGGGATGGTCCAGCTCTGTGGGGGGAAGGGTGTCCGCCATTACCTAGGCAGTCCATGACTACTGAGGCAGTTCACCATTACTGAGGCAGACCACCATTACTGAGGCAGTTGTAACTATACCCCTGTAAACAAAACTACAAGGAAGTTCACACAGCAGCTAACTCAGCAACGCCTCTGCTGGCAGACTGTGACTAGGCTACCTCCTCACTGGGCAGGGCATCTCTGAAAAAAGGCAGAAGAATGACAGGAACTTATAAATGAAGCCCCCCCTTCCCGGGACAGAGCACCTGGGAAAAAAGGGCAGTTACAAGTTCTGCTGCATCAAACATAAACATGTCTGCCCAGCAGCTCTGAACAGAAAAACAAAAGCTCACAGCTCAGCACCTGAGCTCCTATAAGGGACAGACAGTCTCCTCAAGCAACTCCCCGACCCCCGTATGACCAAAGAGACACCTCATAAGGAGAGCTCAGGCTGACATCTGGTGGGTATCCTTCTGGGACAAAGATAACAGAAGAAACTGGCAGCGACCCTTACTGTTCTACAGCCACTGCAGGTGATCCCCAGGCAAGCAGGGTCTGGAGTGGACCTCCAGCAGTCCAACAGCAGGGGGGCCTGACTGTTAGAAGGAAAACTAAGAAACAGAAAGAAATAACTTCAACAGCAACAAAAAGGACATCCACTCAGAGACCACATCCGAAAATCACCAACTACAAAGACCACAGGTAGATAAATCCACAAAGATGGGAAGAAACCAGCACAAAAAGGATGAAAATACCCAAAACCAGAATGCCTCTCCTCTTCCAAGGGATCACAACTCCTCAACAGCAGGGAACAAGGCTGGATGGAGAATGAGTCTGATGAATTGAAAGAAACAGAATTCAGAAGGTAGGTAATAACAAACTTCTCTGAATTAAAACAACAGGTTCTAACCCAATGCTAAGAAACTAAGAACATTGAAAAAAGGTTAGATGAAACGCTAATGAGAATAAACAGCTCAGAGAGAAATATAAATGAATTCATGGGGCTGAAAAACACAACACAAGAACTTCGCGAAGCATACATTAAGTT